AGAGACGGGGTTTCACCATCTTGACCAGGATGGTCTCGATCTCTTGACCTCGTGATCCACCCGCCTCGGCCTCCCAAAGTGCTGGGATTACAGGCTTGAGCCACCGCGCCCGGCCGGTTTTATTCCTTAGATAGATGTTTATTAGGCTTGTCGGATGTGCCAGACTCTAATTGGTCTTAAGCAGAACTGAGATCATCATGCAAACAATTGCTTATAAGAGGAGCTTGGCTTCTCTTCATGTAGCCTAACTGTTGGCTTCTGCCCTTACTGAGGGCACATGACTGGGAGTGGGTTCTTTCTTTTCTAGGTGTAGAGCCAGAGCCTTTTGAAGTTGGAGACCACCTGATTGAGGCTAGTGGGAAACTTCACCTGCTGGATAAGCTGCTGGCATTCCTGTATTCCAGGTAGGTGGTAGGTTCACATTTACTGCTCTGAGCTAATGACTGTTAAGACTTGACTATTGAGGAACTCACTGAGTTGTTGAGGCCAATTCCAGTTGTCTTTTCTTTCTTAATGCTGTTTCAGGTTTTGCCTTCTCTGTGACTACACTCGCACCCCATCCCTTCCACAATTATTCTTTTCTTTCCTGAGTTTCTACAGCACTTAGGATCTTAATCCAACACTTGGCAGTGGGCTGCATTAATTGGCTGTCTGGTTAATTGGTGTTTGTTAACTCTATCACTCCAACTATGTTGTTTGGCTCCACAAGGACAGAGATAACACTGAGCATTTCTTTTATAGTTGCCTGTAGTAACTTGCATTGAATTGACGCATAGTGAAGGCTCAGTAAACATTCATTTTTGTTAACCTGTAGGGTTTGATTTGAACTCACTGGGAACTTGAAGGACTCTTTCTCAGAGACATGATTTGGACGTTAGAAGACCAGACTCAGTTAGTGTTCAGCAGCCATGTATTCAGCTTATACCTAATCCTCCTAGTCACCAGAGAGAAAGCAGGGTCTAGGAATGTGCAAGTGAAATAATTTCATGTCTTACTGTATTTCACTGGTTCTCATATAGCTGCCATAAGTATGTTAGAGTTGGAAAAGGACCTGTAAATGCCTTCTCCCCAGTTTTTTATTTCACAGACCCAGAAAGGTTACGTGACTTGCCCAAGGTCACACAGCCAGCAAATTGCAGAAATGAGATTAGGATTGAGGTTTTCAAGTTCAGTGCTTTCTCTAACCATTTGAGGCTTAAATCTTGAAAGAGTTCCCCATAATTACTCCTCTTAAACTTGTTGCAAGCTCAGATTAAATAAGTTTTTATAATGAGAATATTGTTTCGACAGTGCTGTGCTTCTTCGTTTATGTAAATTTAGAATAATAGCCAATAACAAGGGACTCTAGGCTTGCTTTGTTCTTGACTTACTCCATCATTTTGCCTCCTCCTTTCAACTCTCCTCTCATGTATACAAAAATTTTCTCATGTATCATGGAAGATGAGAGGTCACTTACCCCTTGCTTCTCTAAAGTAATGCCTCCCATGCTTTTCAACCAATATAGCTGTAAATGAGAGGATAGTGACTATACCCCCAAACAGGGAACAGCTGTAGATGACCAAACACAAGCTTTCTTCAGAATCTCCAGTATATCTTTTTTTTGTTTTTTGTGCATTTGAATTTTGCATTTGACACTTCACATATCTGTATTTATTTTGCTACTAAAATGAAAGCTTGTATTTCTTTCCATTGAGCAAATTGACATTCCAGAAAGAGGCACCGTGTTTATTCTAGGGCTTCTATCCTCTGTTGCATTGGCATGTCCCCTGGGAGTAATCTCCACTCTAGTTTGAGGATGACCGTTCTGAGGGATGCAGCTGCCTGTGGAGGTATATTCTTAGAGAAAGCATTTGGAGTTTCTAAGGCAGTCTGTAAATTATATGACATTTATATTTCTACTTCAGTATTTATAAACTTGTATTCTTTGGTAAATTTTGACTGAGGGAAATTTACCTTAAATATCACTAGACTTGCTGTGTTTCCATTTCTGTTTTTCTTGCCAGGGGCCATCGGGTTTTACTTTTCTCCCAGATGACCCAGATGTTGGATATTCTCCAAGACTATATGGATTACAGAGGTGACACCTTTTGGCCACTACATTACCTAAGGCTCTGTTAGACTTAATAGTCCGATAGGTCCATGAAGAATAATATGGGATATGAGAATATTTCAAATGAAAGCAGGGTGAGAACATTATTCAGAACCAAAAGATCAAAAGTAAAGCGAGAGGAGAGTGATGAGTGAAGGCAAGGATGGAGTGCAGAGAAGAGACACGTGGGCAGAGATAAACACCTACGTTCTCATCAGTTATGTGATGTAAAATGATGGGCTGTGGAGAAAATATATATAAACAAAGTTTTGGTGACTAGAGCTTTTAGTGTCTTATAACATTCACCTCAACAGTTGAGCACTTACTCAGGATCAGTAAAAAGGTGAATATTGACATTATAGAGATACCAAATAAGGCAGGGGAAAAGTAAGATCAACTTTTTCTATATAGATGATAGAGAATGTAGTTTATTACCTGGGAAGTCTGTTTATGTGATAAGATTTATGTGAAATGATGAGAAAAAGCTCTAACGTGAGTTGATCTTGAGTCCAGTGGTAAAGAAGTATCAGCTCCAGACCTTACAATTTAAAAAAGTAGTCCAGACTGGGTCTCTGTGTACCTGCTCCGGTGGACACTTGGAGAAATGCTGTTGGCACACGCCATTGGCCACTGAGAGGTCCCCAGATGCACAAACACAGCCTGAGCTTGTAGCCGCCCTTCCCTACATGGATGCATGGAGACAGGTGGTGACCTCTTAAAGCCTCAATGAAAGGCAGATTGCTGGGCCATTAGAAGGGCTCACTCACCTGCTTCCAAGTACTTGTCTTCTGTTTACATAAGTAAGAATTATGTGTCAGCAAAATTGAAACTACCACACAGGATAGATGTTCAGGGTTGCTTACAAATAGTCAAAACTGAGTATTAAGTTCGTAAATGCCAAGGTTTCATGTATTTTAAAAATCCAGAGTATGTTATGGTGAGTTCTTTTGTAAAATGATCATTGTCCCTGTTTAAATTTTTCCCGTGGGATCTGCTTAGAGTATGGCCATGCCTGTATATGAAAAGGGACAAAATTGGCCTTTGGTTTTGGGCTAACTTAATTTTTTTATTCCCGAAAGACTACTTGAAAAGGTTAACGATTTCTGTTTTTTTTCCTCTCTCTAAAGGCTACAGCTATGAGCGTGTGGATGGTTCTGTGAGAGGAGAAGAGAGACACTTGGCCATTAAGAGCTTTGGACAGCAGCCCATTTTTGTTTTTCTCCTGAGTACTAGGGCAGGTAGGCTGCACAGGCATTAATGTAAACAGATTACATCCCACTATTACTACACTTTTTTCCTTAATTCTCTGAAAGGTGAGGTTATTATTGAATGTAAAACAAGGTACTGGGCTTCAAGCATGGTGCTCTGTTCTATCCAACCTGTCCAAGATGTCATCTCATCAAAGAAGTAAGGCTGAAACCTGGGGTTATTGGAAAGTAATTCTAATCTGCTGTGACCATTGACCTGGGAATGTCCTGAAAGGTTTCTATAATTTTGTGGAATGTTTCATTTACATTCAGTGGAGGTAGCTCTTCTTCCTAACCATGAATTTGGGAAATAAGGTAACAGTTTGTCAGTTAGTTGTCCTTCCTTTATAAGTATTTCTGGAATAATGTTGAAAAGCTTAGCAAAAATCTAGTTGTTTAAAAAGTGTCACTGTGTTGAAACTACCAGCTTTTTAGAATTATTTATGACATTGTCCATATATCACGTAAATTATAAATATTATGACATTTGTAATGCTTTACCAGTCACAGAGTGCTTTCATATACTCTTACATAATTTGAAATCAGCTCTTGGAGATGAAATGATTCTCTAAGTCATTATGGTGTCTGGAAAAAAGAAAAAAAAAGCTGGCGCAGTGGCTTATGCCTGTAATCCCAGGACTTTAGGAGACCAAGGTGGGTGGATCACTGGAGGTTGGGAGTTCAAGACCAGCCTGGCCAACATGGTGAAACCCCATCTGTACTAAAAAAACTATAAAACCTAGCTGAGTGTGGTGGTGCATGCCTGTAATTCCAACTACTAGGGAGGCTGAGACAGGAGAATTGCTTGAACCCAGGAGGCAGAAGTTGCAGTGAGCCGAGATTACACCACTGCACTCCAGCCTGGGTGACAGAGTGAGACTCTGTCTCAAAAATAAAATAAATTATTCTCATGTCCTGGAGCAAGCGGACCTTAGTTTTGAACTCGTAGGATCCTAGTTTCATTATCTTATTTTTATAGACATAAATCTTGATGGAATACATTCAGGAACATGAAAGGGATATGTGTGCTCCATTAAAAACAAATTGATATTTTTCTGAAAAAATAGAGTTCAGTCTTATGTAGAAACCGTTTTAAATGCCTAGTACTATAAGGGTATATGAAAGAAGTGTTAGATATAATCTTTGACTATAAGGAGATTATTTCACCTGTGTTTGTTTTATCTCTCTAATAAAAATAACACAAGATTCATATGACCTTACTCTTCCAAGGTCATAGACTGCATGCAGAATCTCAGCCATTTTCTCATGTGATCAGTTGTCTTAGGGTTAGTGTTAGGAGAAACTGAAAGAATAAGGTAGTACATCATCACTGTTGGGAGACAATTTTATTTATGCTTTAATGATTTCATCATCTTCATATTCAGAGAGCAGCATTATGTTTGAAATGTCTGAAATTAGGAAAAAAGAGATCTCTGCTTTTCAGTTCATCTCCTTGGAGGACTCAGAGTAGATCTTCTGGGAACTGAAGCAGTCCCAGCCATTAGCCTTTTCCAAACACAGACTGTTGTGTTTGCTGTAGTTTTACAGGATTTTCATTTATTTAACAGGTATCCTTCCAACTTTCAAATATTTCTGTGATTGGGTCATATTGCCACCAGATGGCAGTGATAGCTCATACATATGTTTCAAATACGGCTGTAGCTTATTTATAAAAATCTCACCCCTCAGTGAAGAAGAGCTGCACTTAGCATGAATTCAAGAAGATAATTTTATGAAAAACATTTTGAAATGAAATAAGTGCCTGAACAGTATTACAGTATAGTGGATAAAATCCCGGGCTCTGGACCCAAACTGCAAAGGAATGAATCCTGGCTCTTTACCTTCTAGCCTTGCAACTTCAGAGAAGTTCCTTACCTGCCCTTTCAATATCTATAAAGTGGGGATAGTCATAGCAGTTACTCATCTTCCCAACAGAGTTGTTGTGAGGGCTAAAGGAGTTAATATATAGAGAGTGCTCAGAATAATGCCTGGCAAGTCATAAGCACAGCGTAAGTGTAACTATCATTATTATTAGGTATAATTTAGCATCACTCAGTAATCATTCATGATTACCTCCTTGTTCCAACTTCAACTTGATATGAAGACTTTAGAATATTTCTGCCCGACTTATCTGGAGATCCAGCTTATGGCAAGTAGTCATTCTCAAAAGTTAGTCCCTAATTCAGGTTCATGGAACAAGCCCTTCCAGGTTTGCTGGTTTCAATAACAAACTCTAGCAACCCTGGCAAGAGGGAGTCGGCTTTTTACTTGTTGTCACATTAATCAGAGAAAGCTGCAATTTACCTTCATGGTTCTCTTAATTAATTCCTGTAATCCAAGGCACCTCCTCAACTCTCTTCCTGCAGCACTGAAGAAAGACCAGAAAGTTATTCCATGGAGTTTTCTTTCTTGGTTTTGTTACTTTCTCTTTGATTAATATGGAAACAAGTACAAAAAATATGCACTGGAGTTTTCTCTAATGAGAGGGAGGTGGTTTCCCACTCTGCTCAGGAGTATAGTATCATCTGCTCTTCTCGTTAACTTTTTATCGGAGATCTTACTACCTGGTTGTAACTTGCAAGCCACATTCAGTGCTCTTCTCTTGACAGTGCCCACAGCAGATCTCATAGTTAGATCTGTTTTCTTTTTTCTTTCTTTCTTTTTTTTTTTTTTTGAGACATTCTCGCTCTGTTGCCCAGTCTGGAGTGCAGTGGTGCAATCTCGACTCACTGCAACCTCTGCCTCCTCAGTTCAAGTGATTCTCCTGCCTCGGCCTCCCAAGTATCTGGGACTATAGGTGCACGCCACGACGCCCAGCTAATTTTTGTATTTTTAGCAGAGATAGGGTTTCACCGTGTTGGCCAGGATAGTCTCGATCTCTTGACCTCGTGATCCACCCGCCTCAACCTCCCAAAGTGCTGGGATTACAGGCTTGAGCCACCCAGCCTAGGTCTGCTTTCTGAAAGAGCATGTGTCCATTTCCTGAGACTACTCAAATCAAAATCTAATCAAGGTGTTTAAGCAGAAGAGATAAAGTGGCTCCATGGCACTAACTTAAGTATCCACTTTTGCCACTTGCCCCTGCTCCACTCATTCTGTTCCATTCAGTAATAAAAATTTTCCCATCAGGCAGTAGGAGGTCAGGTAGCACCTCTCACTGCTAGAACAAGGCTGTGGAGTTGGGGGTGCAGGTTCATTTGAAAGATGAAGCCAGTTTATTTGGCTGATTTCCGTTTGTCGGTCTAACCCACGCTAGCCTTGTGTTTATTTTCTAGCTCCTTGTCTGTGTGCTGCTGATTCCATTCCTTTTTGCATTGTTTTCAGGTGGAGTTGGCATGAACTTAACGGCAGCAGATACTGTGATTTTTGTTGACAGTGACTTCAATCCTCAGAATGACTTGCAAGCAACTGCCAGGGCTCATCGAATTGGCCAAAACAAGTGAGTGATTTTTTTTCTGCTTCCTTGGCTTGCTCAGCAGCAGTTCCAGGTTGTGAGGAAGGTAAAGAATATAGTCCTGGCAGCAGTCCCACACTGGGAGCTGAGGGACCACCAGATCTTAGCCCATCTGTGCTATTGGCTCCTAGGTTAGTATTGGAGGGGGGTCACATCAGTCCAGACTGACTTCATTAGAAAGAGTAAAATCAAATTGTGAAAGGATTAGAAAGAAACTTTAGAAGTTATTTAACTCATCCTTCTTGAGTTAGGCTGTAACTCAGTTAAAAAATGGGGTTATGGAGCTAAGCTTAAAAAAAATAGATGTTACCGTTTGATCTGAGGATAATTTGATCTTCCAGAAGTTTTCCTTGGTCACAGATAAGGAATTCCAGTCATGGTTACCCCAATATTCTTTCCTTGACTCCCTTGGAATGGTTGAGAGAGAATTTGAGGCAAGTTCTCTCTAACAAGTACTCAGGTCCAAATGAAACAGTCTCCCTTTCGTTGTTGCTTTTAGATGTATTTGCCTTGCATACTTTTACCCAGTTTTGCAGACCCTTATAGCACACTACTCTTGTTTGACTTATGTCCAGGTCTGTTAAAGTTATTCGGCTGATTGGCCGAGACACTGTGGAAGAAATCGTCTATAGGAAAGCAGCCTCCAAACTGCAGCTCACCAACATGATCATAGAAGGAGGCCATTTTACTCTGGGAGCCCAGAAACCCTCAGCCGGTGCTGACCTCCAGGTATGATGTATTGTTCTTCACTTCGGAATATGCCAGCACCCTTTGTGGAGGACAGTGTAAATGAAAAGAACCAGCACTCATCAGCCACTCTCCCCAGCTACACATTTGTTCCGTGGCCTCCCTCATACCTGCCACCGTGCTGGCTGTGTGCAGGGTCTGTAGAAACTAAGGATTCAGATCCAGGCCTCATCACTTCTTGGCTCTTTGGGTTTGAGCAGCTTTTTTAACCTCTTAGATCTACTCTTTTTGTATTTCTAAAAGTAAAGATACCACTGGTTACCTCAGAGGGCTGTTAAGAGAATTAGTTAAAATAAAGAACTCAGCTTAGTCAATAACAATTAATTCTGTACTTCCTCCTTAATCCCAGACTCTTTGATCAGTGACTTACATTACTTCATACTCAGAAGAGGGTGAATGAGATCAGGAATTCAAAATTGTGCCATAGGAAAAATGGGTGAAAAACTAGAGGTAATTTGCTTGAAGAAGGGAATACTGGATGGCAAACCGATGCTGGATTGGAAGATTTTAGAGCTCTCTTTCGGAAGAGGACTTAGAGTTAGTCTGTGGCAGCCCTTGGGTTAAAATTAGAACTCATAATATTTCCTGGATCCATTGTTTTTGCCCTAAGGATGAGGGGCTGGATGCAAAGAGACCAGCTCCTAGGATACCAGAAAGATGCAGATATGAAGGGAGTAATCAGTGTCTGTCAAGGGCAGTATCAGTGGGAGGGTCTGGTGTGAGAAGCATTGCAAAAGAAGGAAGGACGGGAGCTGGCTACTGTTTAGAGGTGGGTCTCAGCAGTAGGGAGATAGAAAATTCAAAGATGGCTGTGAGGTTTGAAGCCCGTATGATGAGGACAGTAGAAAGGAAAATAGGTAGGTCAGAATTTTAGGAAGATAAAGATAATTTAGGTTTTAGTCAGAGTAAGCAGTAAAAATACAATATAAACATAAACTATTGTTAGAGACAGACTGAGAGACAAAAGGAAAGAGTTTTATTTGCAAAAGTTTGCAAGAAGGACTAGGCTTTGAAAGGACTAGTCTATCAAAAAATACAAGTGTTTAAGAGGGAAAAAAATTACACAATAATACAAGCAGAGTTACCAGGTTTGTAATTAGTCTGACCATGGGTTAGAAAGCAGCACTTTTTTCACATGGTTACCATATGTGCAAAGGCCAGTGCGTACCTTTACCTATGAGCATTGCAAAAGCAGGGATCAATGTTTTTGCTGGGGAGTCAGTAATTACAGGAAAGGTTCAAGGATTCATTAATCTGGGGACTAGAACTAGAAAGAGTAACCCTGGGTGTTATTTGTTTGTTCTTTGTTTATCTTAGGGGGGTAAGTGTGGCTTTTTTCTTTCTCTGTCTTTCCTTTTGTTGCTGATTCTACGTTACACGCATGCTTAATTAACCATAATGGTGGTAGGGCAGGCTGTACATTTTGATTTCACACTGTCTAAGAGACAATTACAAACGTGAAAGTTTGAGAGAGAGGTAGAAATACACGGTAGATAATTTTATTTGTTTAATTTTTATTTCATTTTTTAGTATACTTTAAGTTCTGGGGTACATTTGCAGAACGTGCAGGATTGTTACATAAGTTTGCATGTGCCATGGTGATTTGATGCATCTGATACCCCGTCATCTACATTAGGTATTTCTCTTAATGCCGTCCCTCCCCTAGCCCCCCACCCCACGACAGGCCCCTGTGTGTGATGTTCCCCTCCCTGTGTCCATGTGCTCTCATCGTTCAGCTCCCACTTATGAGTAAGAACGCAATGTTTGGTTTTCTGTTTTTGTGTTAGTTTGCTGAGAATGATGGTTTCCAGCTTCATCCATGTCCCTGCAAAGGATATGAACTCATTCTTTTTTATGGCTGCATGGTATTCCATGGTGTATATGTGTCGCATTTTCTTTATCCAGTCTATCATTGATGGGCATTTGGGTTGGTTCCAAATCTTTGCTATTGTGAACAGTGCCACGATAAACATATGTATGCATGTGTTTATTGCCTGTGTCTTTATAGTAGAATGTCTTTATGGTAGAATGATTTGTAATCCTTTGGGTATATACCCAGTAATGGGAATACCAAATGGTATTTCTGGTTTTAGATTGAGGAATTGTCACACTGTCTTCCGGTACACTGTAGATACTCTTAAATGCAGTTTTCCACAGAATAGTTCTCCATAGAACCTTGAGAGAAGGTCACTGCTGGGCATGGTGAAGGGGTAAATGACCGAGCTTCAGAAGGCTTGCATTCTCTTTAGAGGAGGAAGGATGTCGTAAGTTGTTTGCACTCTCCCAGTGAAGGGAGCTCCAGGGTTCCAGTGAGAGGTATGTTGTGATGTGGGCTGCTGGACACATCATTGGGAAAGGTGTAGACACACCTCCACCCCATGGGACCACATACTAGTGGGGACACAGACTGCTGGCCGAGAGCAACTCTGTTGGACTTCTTGTGCAGCTCATGGTTATCAGAAAGTTACTTACTGACTCAAATGTCTCATTCATCTCTTCCCCATCCAGACGCTATGAGTCAATTGTTATTGCCAGAAACAAAGGTGATAACCCAATGCCCTTGTCTCAAAAGAAAGCAGGGGATTTCTTTTTAATACCAAAAAACCAGAAGTAAAAGATGTGGTTCTGATTTGGTAAATCTAAGCGGTAGGTATGGAGTTCTGAAGTCCTGAAAGAAGGAAGCATGTTTATTATCGTGCAGGGAAGACATAGTAGAGAGAGAGAGGCAGGGAGATGCAGGCATAGTGAACACTTATTAAATGCTCTATGCTGAGTGTTGTCTGAGGTGCTGTTTTCCAGTTCTTTCAGTAAATAAGAATAACAGCAGGATGAGATAAACACTGTCTTTATCCCCATCTTAAGTAATTGGCCCAAGGTTATTCAGATTTCGGATTCCAAACCAAGCACTCTCTAACTTCCGAGCACATGCCCTTAATTACTGTAATATACAGCTTCTCATAAAAACACATATAATTTCCTTAATGACTAGGACACACTGCAAGTGAGCAAAAACAAGGGAGAGCCAGGAGGCAAGCTTAAGTACAAGGGGGTTGGAGGGAGGGTCCCAGTATAGACAAATTCTCATCATAAATACTTTGTTTTCTACTATTTTTAGTACCAGCTGCCCAAGCCAGTCGTCCTGGTTATGTAAAGGGAGAGTAAATTAAATATGAATATGTCCAGGTGCATTCATGGTTAAGTGAGCTCTTTTTTTTTCAAGCTGTTACGGAATACCTTAAGATTTCCAAGTTACTCACAAAATAGATGATCTAGAGATAATTAACCCAGTCTAAAAGGGCAGGTTTGAATCCACCTTGGGTCAGGATCTCAGAGTTAGTACTTAGGAGGTGCAAAGTTGGAAGTAGCAAGTGAAAGCCAGGAAAAATTCTCTCTGCTTTCTGTGTGGTTCCTATGGCCACAGGGAACAGGCTGGCAGTACTCCAGAGGGGGATGAGAGAAGAGAAGCAGGATAGTGCAGTGCCAGAGCAACATCCAGGAAAGTTCAGACGGAGAAAAGGCTTTCGGGTCTGGTGGTCAGAAGTTGTTACTGGTCTTTGCCAAGGTGGTTTCTATAGAAACCAAATTTCTCTGGAAATTGTTAGGAGAACAAATTGCCAAAGAAAAGGAGTCAGTTTATAGTAGAGGTAAAGTACCCAGTGTAGCCTTCTCTTTCTAAGGAGTCTGTCAGTGGGGAGGTCGGAAAGTAGCTGACAGGGTCTCTGACTTCTCATGTGACTGCTGGGAATGCTTATGAAAACGAGTCAGCCGGGTGCAGTGGCTCATGTCTGTAATCCCAGCACTTTGGGAGGCTGAGGCGGGCAGATCATGAGGTCAGGAGTTTGAGACCAGCCTAACTAACATGGTGAAGCCCCTTCTCTACTAAAAATATTAAAATATTAGCTGGGTGTGGTGGAGCGCACCTGTAATCCCAGCTACTCGGGAGGCAGAGGCAGGAGAATCACTTGAACCCAGGAGGCAGAGGTTGCAGTGAGCCAAGATCATGCCACTGCACTGCAGCCTGGGTGACAGAGTGAGACTCCGTCTCAAAAAAAAAAAAAAGTCAGTGAGAGGTGCTATAGGAAATGCAGGAAATTACTGTTTTTCTTCAAAAAAAATTGGAGGCTTATACATTATTTTGTTTTTAGGGAGAATTGTCAAAGTCAGTACCTCTAGTAATCATTTATCCCCTCTCTGCTTACCCATCATCCAACTGTTAAATGGCCATGGCTGTTACCATTTATGATGGGGAGAGCAGAGAGGCTGCCTATTCATCAGAGTAGGACTGTCCTTGGCGTTGTTATCCACCTAGCCAATCATTGATATCCTAATGTTTGTTTTCATGAGAACTTACTAGACTTTTTTGTTTTCTCTACCCAAGTTGAGTGAGATACTCAAATTCGGTTTGGATAAACTGCTGGCCTCTGATGGGAGCACCGTGGATGAAATAGACCTGGAGTCCATCCTGGGAGAAACAAAAGATGGCCAGTGGACTTCTGATGCCTTGCCTGCAGCCGAAGGAGGGAGCAGAGAGCAAGAGGAAGGAAGTAAGTTGGAGGCTAGAGCAGAGCAAATGGCACAAGCACCCCAAGCTAGAGCTCACGTCCCCATGGAAAGCTTTGGATGCTGCTCTCTGGGACATCTTTTTTCTACCCAACCTTACTGTCTTCTTGGACACGCTGTTTAAGACTTGCTTGTACAAGAACTTTTCCCAGACTAACTGCAGTTTTGTGTGGCTCTTCCCTTGTAGCTGAACTGTGAACCAAAATCATAGTATTAATGTTTATGATACTGTCACTCTTGAGGCTTTGCATTTGTACCTTTTCTCCCTTGGTTGCAAGCATCTCCTCCTTTGTTTATTAGTAAAGCCTATTGTCCTTGGTATGTTGCTTTACACATAGTGATTCCTCTTCTAAATGGTAGATTTATTTGTGTTTTAAATTGCAGCTAACATAGATCACGTACTTTGTGTTCATCAACAGAGCAGACTTTGCCATGTGCTTTTTTCCATTTAACTTTCATAATACACCATGAGCTGTAGGAGATGATTTTGTCTTTCTCTTAATTTTCTTTTCTGAATTTGGTCAACATTTGCCATTTTGTTCTTTTCTGAGTATTTTAATTTCTGATTTGAAGTAATTTTTCACATGATAGCTTTGTAAAGGTATTCCCTGGCATCTCAAAGTTATTTTGAAATGACTTATTTTTCTGTACCAGCTGCAGCAGAGATTCGATATGGACTGGGGTGAGAAGTTTGGGAATCTTAGGCTTAATTCACCAGTACATTCTTTCAGTAATAGAGAACAGTGCTGTTTCTTTACTAGATGGTAGCCCCTTTTTATGTTGAGTAGCAGTGGCATGATTTCTGGTTTTGCAGTTCTCTTTTGTTTCTCTAGGACTGTGAATTTCCATCACTTGCTTTCTCTTTCTCTTTGCCACAAACTTGTCAAAGGATGTCTCCCCGCTTCTGAGTTGTCTCTGTCTTCCTGCCAGAAGCAGTGCCTTTCCAAATTCCTGGCTGCCTGTATTTTCATGCCTTCCCTTCGTTTCAGCTCCTTAGTAGCCACTGCTCTGATCCACCAGGTCTCAGACCTATCCTCCTTATCTTCCCACTTGGAATGTGACCCTCTTTGGGGGGTAAATTTTATCTGTCTGACCTTGCTGGACGCCCCTCCCTGCCCTCCCTCTCCTCTGCATAGTCTCTGCCTGCCTGTCTACTCTAGTGTAGGCGTTGGAGCTGGCTCGGCTGGTGTTGGAGGTTTATTTCTCTAGTTACCTACCATAAGTTGAAGTGTGTAGTATTTTCTGACTTCTAATGTTGTAGTAGGCATGGATTGGGGTGGTCCTTGTTGGTCTGTGTAGTTTTTGTGGAATAGGTGGAAAAGCTGCAATTTGGGCAGCTGGCATTGTTTTACAGGAAACTGCTCTTTGACTTTTCTGATATTTTGTCTTTAAAATTCTTTATGAAAATATCCTGTTTATATTCTTCAAGAACTCTTTCTTGTTCTCTGCTTATTGTTTTCATTGTACCCTGTTCTCATTTCAAGGACATACTGTCTTCTCTGGGGACATTATAGCTTTTTCATATGTATTTTAGGGAGGATATTATCTTTTTAAAAAGTATTTCTCTTCCCACTGCATTGACTTTTACTTATCTTTCTTCCTCTTTTAAAAAAAACCCAAACTATATTTATTTATTTATAAAAATTGGCAGATAAAATTGTATTTATCATGTACAACATGATTCCTTAAAGCCTGTATACATTGTGGAATCGTTAAATCTAGCTAATGAACATACTTCATATGGTTATCACTTCATATGGTTATCATATTTGTGGTGGTTATGAACATCACTTCATATTTGTGGTGAGAACACTTAACATCCACCCTCTTAGTATTTCTAAGGAATACAATATATCATCGTTAGCTATAGTCACTATGGTACCTCTTTGTCTAAAAAAAAAAAAAACAACATTGTTTGGGGATCTCTTATTCTCATTGATAGTTTCCCTGACCATCTGGTATCCCCTGGCTATCTGATCACTTGCGCTGATGAAGTGCCACAAAGTTGATGGCAGCTCCAGCATGAGCAGGTCCATGGGCCCCGGGGCCTTATTCCTGATTGATGAGTCAGGTTTTACATGGAGGGCACCTTCCCTAATATCCGTGTTTGAAGTCTTCACTGGGCAACCCATTTTCTCCAAAGAACAATCCTCTAGTATTTTCCCTGGGACAGAGAGGATGGAGTTCACCTGGTTGCTCAGACTGAAAAGGCAGAGTGAGTCAAGGGCTCACAGCACTGCTGCTTTATGGGGTGCAGATCTTCTCTCAGTTCTGCCCCTTGCAGTATGCTGCACTTGTAAGTCCTAAGCTCTTGGGGGATTGAGAGGGTCTCTAGACTCATAATGAGCCCTTGGCTAGGCACCTATGTTTGTTTCCATGGTTCTTCTTAATCTGTTATTATCCCTCAAGCCACTTTTCATTTTCCAAAAGGTTATTGAACTTTTTCATCCACCATTGCCTCGTATATCTTTTTAAAAATCCCTTTAACTGTCACTTGGTGGTTTCAGGTGAGAGAAGAAATAGATGCATGTAATCATATTTTTAAGTTATAATTGATTATATTAAATCGCAACACTTACACCCGTTTCTGTACTTATCTAGATAATTTCAGCCTATTTTGCTAACGTTTACTAGAACAAAATAAAGTCGCACTCTTTTCCAGAAAGATAATTATATTTCTCAGTCAATCCAACTGCCTAAAATAATTTTACTTTTTTAGACAGTCCAACTGCCAGAAAAATTCCCCAGTTGTATTAAACTTGGGGATTTTCTCTTTGATGAATGGGTATAGGTTTGCTCTATGGTAAATGATTATCCTGGTGGGATAGAGACACAGGTCCAGGCCTGTTGTGGTGGCAGAGTGAAGATAGGGGGCATGATTACAAAGAATATAAATGGATAGGAAAGATTGGTAATTCACACGGCCCCCATCAGAATTAGATAAAAAACAGGGTTGCTTTATCTTGAATGCCAGGGTTTTTTAAAAAAGCATGTTTGGAAGTTGAGAATCACGTGCAGTGTGAAGCTACATATGTTGATCATATTTGACACTTTCAGCTCTGTTTTTCTTCTACTTGTTGATAGAGTACTTCATTGAAAGCCCCCTGCTGATTTAATTAGCAATGCCAATTAGAACTACAGCTGGTTAGATTTGGGTACAAGTGTGAAGCAATTGATCTCTTGAGAATGAAAATGTTTTCCTTTCATACTCTCTAGGGAAAACATACTTAGCAGATTTCACAAATGTTGTGAAAATACATTATTTGGTAACATGTGCTACTAAATATGCTTCCCTGTTGAATCATTATCTTAACTATCTGTGGTTGCTAGTCTGGACTGGTCCTGACTCTTCTTAATCACTTTATTCATGATCTTGGCAGATCACTCAGCCTCTTTGAGCTTTTATGTTCTCATCTGTAGAATGGTCCTATTAATGTCTACTTTACTCTTTTACACAGTTGGAAAGATCAGACACGATAATAGTTGTGGAATTGATCTGATAGCATGCAGTGCTATTCAAAATTACACTATTATCTTCATTGCTATGGTTATTACAATAATTATTATTTGCTAGCATGTTCTCTTTCCACCCTTCTAGAGACACAGTCACATACCGAAAAGAGCATACTGGCCTTAGAATCAGAAAATCCTGCCTCTTTATTTATTACCAGTGAGAATTATAGAGTCCCTTAATTTCTGCCCAAGCCTCAGTTTCCCCTTTCAAAAGTAGGATTAGTTATATACCAGGATTGTGGTGAGGATCATGAAGATGTTTGATGAGATCTGTAAGGAATATTGTAAATCCAAGGGATTATTTTTATGATTCTTAGATTTGCCAAGTTGAATACTAAAAGTGTATTTGGAATAAAATGTATAGATTTTATTAGATGATCTTAATGTCACCGAGATTTGTGCTGAGGAATACTTGGGAATGAACGAATGAATGAATGAGGAATAAATGGAGGAATCCATCAGAGATTGACAAACCATCTAGAGATGAACCGAAAGGATTTAAGCCATGCTGTCCCCTTGGAAAAGTAAACACGTGGGATCCTTATGTAGAACCCACTTACTTCAGTGTCAGTGGGATGAGAAACAAAATACCTTTATCCAGTCTTAGCTCATTTAGAACATAGGCTGTTTTCTTATCCACTCTAGTTATTGCTTTGAATAGCATTAATCTGTTTTTCCTTGGTATCTAACATTTCTCTTTGTGTTTTATGTTGTTAGAAAATCATATGTACTTATTTGAAGGGAAAGATTATTCTAAAGAGCCCAGCAAGGAAGACAGAAAATCATTTGAACAACTGGTAAACCTTCAGAAAACGCTTTTGGAGAAAACTACTCAAGAGGGCCGATCACTCCGAAATAAAGGCAATGTAAGAACTGTTAATTTATTTCAAAGATGTTCTTCCAAACTCTCGTTCTAAGAAAACAAAACAAAACAAAAATGATGCTGGCATCATTTTGTTCTCGTAGGATAACTTGTCAAGAAATAAGTATGTGTTTGTTGAAATGTTGATATAATTAACCATACCCTAGTATAAAAACTATGGTAAAGTCAGCATAGAAAAACATTAAGGAGAGAATATATTGTACGATTTAGTGCAGGTGAAAGCAGCCTTGTCCATCCAAATCACTGCTAAAAGCATCCCTATATTATACCAAAATACCATCTCATGCTGTTGGTAATTATGACCCTATGGCACTAAGAGAGGATATCAATCAAAAATGATACATGTAATGTTCACAGTGTTTGGCAGTTGATAAGTGCTCATTAAATGCCAGCTATTACTAAGATAATCCTGATATGGTAATATAGTCTTAACAAAACTATATAATACATTGCAGAAAGAGTTCCATTAAAAATGGCTAAAGTGGCATCCTTCAGGGTATGCTTTCAGTCAAGGAAAAAAGTTCCTTTTCTGAAGTACCTTATTCCTAATAAAATAATCAAAATGACTGTTTCCACTATGTCAGTGCTGTGGCTAAGAGCGGGGTATCCTGGTCACTGTGCCTGTGAAGTGTGTGATATGAACTGTGCCTTCAAGTGCTTTGCCTTCAGTTCCCACCATGCAGGGCGAGTGGAGATGCAGTGTTCTGTGAAATATTAAACTTGTTGCTTCTGTACAGTGTGCTGTAGGGATAATGAAACTTAGGGAGGAACATTCTTGACCCTGGTGATGGATCTTGTTCCTCCTCTAGGTTCTCATCCCAGGCCTTGTGGAGGGATCTACCAAAAGGAAGCGGGTTCTGAGCCCAGAAGAGCTGGAGGACAGACAGAAGAAAAGACAAGAAGCAGCTGCCAAGAGAAGGAGACTCGTAGAGGAGAAGAAGAGGCAAAAGGAAGATGCTGAACATAAGAAAAAGTATGTGTGCGTTAACCAAGCTGGGGACCACAGTTGGTAAAGGAGTCCCTAATGTAGTGAGACCACAGTTGAACATCACTTTAAAAATACAGAAGATTTCTTTTAAGCTTGTTCCTATTGATAACAGAATACTTTTTTTAATGCTTGCTGTATGTAAGTGAAAAGTCCCAAGTGCCTAAGGCAGGGAAGATGGATTCCACTGAAACCAGAATTTTTAAAATTTTTTTGAGATGGATTCTTGCTCTGTCATCCAGGCTGGAGTACAGTGGGTATGGTCACTGCTCACTACAGGCTCAACCTCCCATGCTCCAGTGATCTACCCACCATAACCTCCCTAGTAGCTGGGACCACAGGTGTGTGCCATCATGGGTGGCTAATTTATTTATTTATTTATTTTTTTAATTTTTTGGGACGGAGTTTCGCTCTCGTTACCCAGGCTGGAGTGCAATGGCGCGATCTCGGATCACCGCAACCTCCGCCTCCTGGGTTCAGGCAATTTTCCTGCCTCAGCCTCCTGAGTAGCTGGAATTACAGGCACGCGCCACCATGCCCAGCTAATGTTTTATATTTTTAGTAGAGAGGGGGTTTCACCGTGTTGACCAGGATGGTCTCGATCTCTTGACCTCGTGATCCACCTGCCTCGGCCTCCCAAAGTGCTGGGATTACAGGCTTGAGCCACCGCGCCCGGCCAATTTTTTTATTATTTGTAGAGACAGTCTCATTGTGTTGCCCAGGCTTGCCTCAAGCTCCTGAACCCAAGCTGTCTTTCTGCCTTGACGTCCAAAGTGCTGGGATTACAGGCATGAGCTACCTACCATGCCTGGCCGAAACCAGAAAATTTTAAGATTTTATCGTAGCTATGTGACATAGAGTAGTTTACTTGAACAGTCTCTTTTAGTGATATTCTTAAACACAGGAACATTCAGTGAGTGCTCATTATTGGATTGTAGTCAGGAAGGAGTTGGCCTAGTCAGTAAGTCTTGTTTATTTACAAAAAAGCAGAAAACTTCAATCAGGATAAGTTTCTAATAGCATTTCTACTTGGCAGATATTGTTTGTGAACAGCAGTATGCAATGTGCTCCAAGGGAAATTGTGTTTGTCTGGGTTGATTTCCTTTTCTCTCTGGCCTGCTAAAGGATGGCCTGGTGGGAATCCAACAATTACCAGTCCTTCTGCCTGCCCTCTGAGGAGAGCGAGCCAGAGGACCTTGAGAATGGGGAAGATGAGAGTTCTGCTGACCTGGATTACCAAGACCCAGACGCCACCTCCCTCATGTACGTTAGTGGTGATGTCACCCACCCTCAGGCTGGGGTCGAGGATGCTGTCATCGTGCACTGCGTAGGTACGAGAAGTGGTATGGCTGGGGATGGGGGCCTCAATCCTTATGGTGTCAAACACTGGGGTGGGTGGTGCAGAAGCCTGACCCAGGGTGATGGTCACAGTGTAGTATTGTGTGGTCAGAAAAGTTTGAATTTTAGAGTCAGGAACATTCCAGAATCATTTCACTCTTGGCTCTCTCATTTACCTGGTTTAGTTATCTAATCTCTCAACTTTAACTGTCTTATTTATATAGTGGGACAATATCTGCCTTATCCTCTGCACAAGGTTTTTAAGTGGAATGAAGCAACATTGATAAGACAAATCCTTTGAGAAAAAACAAAACGTCAAGCTTGTTCCCTTACTTGACCTTTGTACTTTTTACTTCATCTGCCTAAAACCCTCTTCCCAAATAACCACATCACGTGTCATTCAAATGTCTGTTTCTCAGAGAGGCCTTCTGTGATCACCTCATATAAAACAGGCCCCTCCTCCCTCTGTTATTCCCTGTCCCTTCTCCCATATTTTCCTTTATCACACCTGTCCCACACATATTACCTGCGTATTTGTTTATTTGACTGTTGAATTAAAAGTATGCTTCATGGAAGCAGGGTTTTTTTTGTTGTTGACTGCTGTGACTCTGGTGTCTAGAACAATGCCTGACACATAATACATGCTAAAAAACATTTGTAGTATGAATAAATGACTGTAAATACTGAGATACTAAGCAGCTTGGTTAATACCAGCTTGAATAAGTCATTTAACCTTTCCTCTTCTTTGCCTGTGTGCTGTTGCATAACCAGTGCTTCTCCTCACTCTGCAATATTCCATCTATTCTCCATCCTTCCACAGTCATCTCCCAGGAATCACAGATGCACCACAGAGATTTTGCTCATTCAGAACACTAGTTTTTGAGATGCTTTCCTATTACGATGGCCCAGGTATATCTTCCAGAAAACATAAACATATTTGGGAAGTCCAACCTGTAATATTGCTAGATCAAATATTTTGTTTTTTCCCCTTTGAAAAAATCATTCTTCCACAAGCTCTTTTGTGTGCCTTTGTTTTTCTAAATTGTGGACTGGACTGAAAATTTTCTGTTTCTTCAATCAGATGACTCTGGCCGCTGGGGCAGAGGTGGTTTGTTTACAGCTCTGGAAAAACGATCCGCTGAGCCAAGAAAAATATATGAGCTAGCTGGGAAAATGAAAGGTAAGAAGCAAAGCAGAGATGAGGGCTAAGGATGGAATAAGAGAGGACACTTAGTATCATGAGGGTTACACAGCACTAGATAAGAAATCAGAATAACTGGTTGGGAGCTGAATTGTGGTAAATTAGCTACGTATTCTGTGACTTCAGTGGATTCCCTTACCTTTTCTGTGCCTGTTTCCTCATCTGTGATTTGTGAATAATACTTGTTCTACCTACTTCATGGACTGAAATGAGCATAATGAATGTGTGTATTCTGAAAAGTGTCGATCCCTGCATACATGTTAAAGTATTGGAATGGGCCGGACACAGTGGCCTTTGCTTGTAATCCTAGACTTTGAGAGGCTGAGGCAGGAGGACTGCGTGAGGCCAGGAGTTTGAGATCAGCTTGGGCAACATAGTGAGACTCTGTCTCTACAAAAAAATTTAAAAATCAGCTGGGTGTGGTGGTGCATGCCTATAGTCCCAGCTACTCAGGAGGCTGAGGTGGGAGGATCACTTGAGCCCAAGAGGTTGAGGTTGCAGTGAGCTATAATTGCACCACTACACTACAGCTTGAGTGAGGGTGAGACCCTGTCTCATTAAAAAGAAAAAGAAAAAAAAAGTATTGAAATAAAGATGAAGGAATAGCTCATGAAAACATTAAAGACCTGTGGGAGGCTGGGCATGGTGGCTCATACCTGTAATCCCAGCACTTTGGAAGGCCAAGACGAGACAAGGAATTCCAAACCAGCCTCACCAACAAGGCAAAACCCTGTCTCTACAAAAAAAAAGAAAAAATACAAAAATTAGCCAAGCATGGTGGCACATGCCTATAATGCCAGCTTCTGGGGAGGCTGAGGCACAAGAATCACTTGAACCTGGGAGGTGGAGGTTTCAGTGAGCTGAGATCACACCATTGCACTCCATCCCGAGTGACAGACCAAGACTTTGTCTCAGGAAAAAGACCTATAGGAGAGAAGTTGGACACACCATTAAAATGCTGACCAAAGCTCGGCTTTGGTGCTGAGGGGAATGAAGATGTGCTATGAGATCAGCATAGCCTGGGTTATAACACTCCCTGGTGACAGAAATAAAGCTCTTCGGTGCCAGGGGAACGTAGAAGCCTGAACAGTGTTTTCCCTGGCCACAGAGATGGGAAAAAGACACCTCCTTTTATATCCAGAAATAACAAAGTGGCAAGAGGAATAAAATTATTATTGTCATATTTGGAGATTGAAGGACCTTGTCTGACAGAGAAGGGTCCACCAGATTCCTTAGAGGTTGGTTTTTCCTAATCCTGCCCAGTTCTATATGGTAGAAAGAGAGGTAAGAACGTAAAGAGTGAATACTTTTTCTAGTAAAACAAGTTAATGAAAGAAGGGTTTCATGTGTGTCAAAATAGTCAATCCAGATCTAGATGCTGATTGGGCAGTTGGCAAAGCAGAACCCCAGAGCTGGAGGTGCAGGCGGGGGGTCCCTGTTTGGAGTCTGTGTTTGAAACCATGTGAGAGGGAGGATGGAGAAACGAGAGGCAAAGAACAGACCTGGAAAAGACCTCCGCTTAGTACTTGAGGCAAGAAGATGGAATTTCTGACAGAAAGAATTGCCAGAAAATTAGGAAACCTCGTGGAGTATTTTGAGGTACAAGGGAAGAAAGTATGTCAAGAAGGCAAAGTTCATGGTATCAGACACCAATGTGAGGATGAATTGCGAAAAGGCCATGGATTTGAACCAAAGTCACTCACGTGAGCTCGGAGCACTTTGTGGAGAGTGGGAAGCCCCAACTTAAGGCCTGAGTGCTCAGTAAGGACATGGAGATAGGAGTGTGCAGTTTTCTCTGAAGAAGGATTGAAGCAGGTTGCAGCAAAGTAGATGAAGCTGTGGACTAGAATTCCCTGGGAAGGCTTCATGGAGGCTATGAAAGTTGTCTTGGGCCTGGAAAGGTGGGTTGAATTTAATAGGTGGAGAGAAATGGCAAATGGATTCCCAACTGCTCATGACAACACCTACTGTTCACCATCTGTGGGTATTGAAGGACCCAGGCAGTTACCCTGTTTCTTTGTGTGAAGAATGGTGTACAGGTCACGCAGGCCAGAGTGGAAGGTTCAGGCAGAATAGAGGAGAGTTTCATTGTCACCAGAGTCTTGGGCCACATCATAGAAGACTGCACATGATTTGTCCAGGGAGATGCCGTTCTAACTAGAACCTTATCTAATGGAATGGGTACTGACTGGTCGTTTGGGGGATTTGATCAAAAGGATGGCAAAGCGCAACCAATATTTTAGAATGACTGAACAAAAAGTTCAAACTGGTATCAGCCTAACCAATAGACAGGCTCTGTAAAATAAGATGAATTTAGGTTGATTTCTTGTGGTTTTTTTGTTTGTTCGTTTGATTGATTTTTGAGACAGAGTCTCACTATCTGGAGTACGATGGCACGATCTTGGCTTTACTGCCATCTCCACCTCCCAGGCTCAGGTGATCTTCCGGCCTCAGCCTCCCAAGTAGCTTGGACCACAGGCACACACCACCACACCCGGCTACTCTTTTGAATTTTTGGTAGAGACAGGGTTTTACCATGTTGCTCAGGCTGGCCTGGAACTCCAGAGCTCAAGTGATCCACCTCAGCTTCCTCAAGCGCTAGAATTACAGGCATATGCCACTCTACGAAGCCTGAGGTTTTTAAGGAGAATGGGAAAGATTACATACTTGTTTTGAATCAGTTATCTTTGACTATAAGCATTAGTAAGAAGGGTGAGGTTGGGCAGTCTGAGGTTGGGCAGCAGTTAATGAGCAGATGTCCTTGCAGAAGATTATTTTTATGTAAGGTTGCCAGCACCCTTGTGCAAGGTTGTGGTTTTTGTAAAATCTTTTGGGATAGTTGTTGTTAACAGGCATTCATGCATTAGCACCTTCCCTTCATGGCTTTCCCTGGCTCCATTTGTCAGAGTTTTGTTTTATTTTTTGAGACAGGGTCTCATCCTGTCAGGCTGGAGTGCATTGGCGTGATCCTAGCTCACCACAGCCTCTAACTCCTTTGCTCAAGAGATCCTCCTGCCTCTCAGTCTCCCAAGTAGCTAAAACTACAGGCACACACCACCAAACCCAACTAATTTTTTCTTATGTTTTGTAGAGACTGGGTCTTGCCTTGTTGCCCAGGTTAGTCTGGAACCCCTGGCTTCCAGCAGTCCTCCCGTCTCAGCCTCCTAAAGCACTGGGATTACAGGTGTGACTCACTGTGCTCAGCCATATTTGTCAGAGTTTTTAACACAAGCATCTCTATTTTGATTCTGACTGCTTTCACATCAGCTTATGTAAAGCCATAGAATTAAGTTAGCACATTTTTCTTCACTATCAGTTTTATTTTATTTGGATGGGGTGGAAAAATATATTATACAAACAGATAAAGATAAAGTAGAATGTAATAATTTGAATGATTTAAGACAAGCACAAAACTTCCAAAGGAGTTTCAAGCACATATAATGCTCCCTCCTCTAAGCCCCCCAGCTACCTCTGGGTATTGTATTCATTTTCTGATGTCTACAGAGGTACTTTGTTCGTACGTTTGAGGAGCATTAAATTAGGAGATCATAAAAATTTAGGAGGGAAGCAGGTGAGTACTCAGCTAAGGTATTGACTGAAGCCAGGAAAGTGAGAAAGGGCTATGAAGGAAGGTGCGTTCTGAAACCTAACTAAATTTGAAAAAGGCAAGATAAAGGAGGATTCATTCCTTGGTGAACCTGGTATTCTTTATGATGCTCCTTTCTGTTTTACCACAGACTTGAGTTTGGGAGGTGTCCTTTTATTTCCCATTGATGATAAAGAGTCAAGAAACAAAGGGCAAGATTTGGTAAGTAAAAACCCCCATTTCTTTTCAGAACTAAAAGTGGACTCACATCAACTTCTCTTGAAGCATCTCCTGCCCCCATTGGCCTCTCTACTAGTGTATTAGCTTATTAGGGCTGCCTTAACAAAAAGCCACAGACTGGGTAGCTTAAACAGCAGAAATGTCTTTCCTCACAATTCTGGAGGCTGAAAGTCCAAGATCAAGGTGTCAGCAGGTTTGGTTTTTCCCGAGGACGCTCTCCTTGGCTTGCAGATGGTGGTCTTCTTGCTGCTCATGCATATCCCTGGTGCCTGTGTGTCCAGATTTTCCTTCTTAGAAGGATTCCACTCAGAATGGATCAGGCCTCACCCTAACACCCTTGTTTTAATTTTATTACCCCTTTAAAGACCCTGTCTAAATACAGTCACATGAGGTACTGGGCTTAGGGCTTCAATATATGAGTTTGGGGGGACACCGTTCAGCTCATAGCAAGTAGTTTGGGCCATGGCCTCCACTGCACTTTCCCCGTCCCCACCCTTCCATTCATTCGTCCCTGGAGCACTGTCCAGACAGCAGGCTCCACCTAAGTACAAGCGTTTCTATTTGTCTTTTTAGCCTCAGTACCCCACATAGTACTGGCTCATAAGAAATGCTCCATAAATATTTACTGCATGAGTAAGAAAGCATGACTCAAAACTCCGAGGGTTTCATTTCATATCATGTGAAAATTTCTATGAAAAACCGTGTTTTCTAGTCAGCCATAATGAAGCAGGGGAGAGAAACTAATCCGTATGTCCTTTGCCCACATCAGAGTCCTTCCTGCTTACCTGTCATTTGGGATGCCTGTAGTGAGTTTGATTTACTGCACCTACCTGGCTTTCTCCAAGGCCTGGATTCATTTTCAAATTTTAAGCCAGAATTAAGAAGAAATTTCAAAACCAGGCTAAAAGAGAGGCTCATCCTCTTGAGGTTGCTGGTCTATGTGACTGTGTTAGGCTGTTTTTGCGTTGTGATGAAAGAACTCCCTGACACTGGGTAATTTATAAAGAAAAGACATTTATTTGCTCATGGTTCTACATGCTGTACAGGAAGCATGGTACTGACATTTGCTCCTGGTGGGGGCTTCAGGAAGCTTACAGTCATGGCAGAAGGCAAAGGGTAAGCTAGTGTATCACACATGGCAAGAGCAGGAAGAAGACAGAGTAGGGGACGGTACCATGCTGCTTTAAATAACTAGATCTCAAGTGAACTTTACCAGAAAATAATTCATCACCAAGGGTTATGGCAAGGGTATGGCACTAAGCCATTCATGAGGATTCCACCCCATGATCCAATACCTTCCACTAGGCCCCACCTCCAACACTGGGGATTACATCCCAACATGAGATTGGGAGGGGACACACATCCAAACTACACAGTGACCAACAACAAAGTGGTTTCTGTTGAGTCATTCCTTCAGTAATTTCTAAAATGCTAAAAAAGAACAGCAAAGTGTCTGTGCATGAGAAACTCCGAATCCAATGATTCAGGAAAACTGTCTACAGCGAGTAGAGCACCATGTCTATGATATGACTGTGGTGATGTCATCCCAGAAGCTCCCTTGACACGATCCAGCTCCACTTAGGTTACGTTGGTTGACAGATACTTGGCATTTTATCCTCATGGGAATCATTTGAACAGAGATGGAATGACTGCTTGTCCTGAGGGTTGTGGAGCTGACTCAGGCATCAAAGGACTGGAATACAGGAACCTCTAAAATCTTTTCCATGCCTACAATTCAGAAAAGTTCTTTTTTTTTTATCCTTGAGAGCTTTTGGAAAGTATGTGTTTTGGACTCGTTCTCTGGTTGTAATATATTTTAAAAAGAAGAAAAAAGGCTTGTATAAAGTGACCACAAAGTAATAATTATGATGGGACGTGAAGTCTTACATACAGTAGGACGTTGCTGTTTAGGCACAGCATCTGAAAGAGATGAAGCCAAGCCCAGGGGCTTGGTCACCTTGAGGTGACCCCTCAAGGGCTGTGCCCCCTCCATGGCAGTCACCTGGCTGACAGTGCGGCTGTCTCATGTCGGGTTGGTCATCTAATGGTGGTTCTTTCCAGTTGGCCTTGATTGTGGCTCAGCATCGTGATCGCTCCAATGTCCTATCTGGCATTAAGATGGCAGCCCTAGAAGATGGCCTGAAGAAGATATTTTTAGCAGCAAAGAAGAAGAAAGGTAAGTTCTTCCATCTGTGCTCAAGAGTAGATGAATTTGTTTCTAGGCATGTGATATGACTTTTGAAGGGAGGAGAGAAATGTCAAGACCCCACTTAATATGCATGGTAAAGGCAAACCACAGGAGTGATCACCCCATCATCTTGTATTCATATAGCCCCTTTTCCTTTCCAAAACACTCTTTAATACCTGTTATCTCTGTAAGCCGTATCCATCCCCTGTGTATTTTTATCATGATTTTACAGATGAGGAAGCAGCGGGCTGGAAATAAAGCAACTTGATCATATGCAATTGATAAATGCTGTTTGTTTAATCTCCTCTTAGAGCCACGGTCCACAATAACAGACGGTTCTCTGACAAAAATGAATTTAATTTTGTTTGCAAACCTAGTGTGTCTCAGAGTTTATCGAATTGATTGGCTTGTTAGAGAATCTTTGCTTATTTTAATTTTCCTCCACCAGTTATAATCTGTGTCCATTGTACGTATTTCCAGAACTTCTGTTCAACAGAATAATTTGTTTTTTCTTATTACAATTCTTCCCCAGGATAGTTTTACATTAAAATTTTGTGCTTTGAGTGGGACAGTCAATAATTATTTTCTCCAATGTATGTTTTATACCCATCAATCAATTTTTGATGAGTGAAGATGTCTGTTCTTTTCTTCATAATAGCAAGTGTTCATCTTCCACGGATTGGACATGCCACGAAAGGTTTTAACTGGTATGGTACTGAGCGACTTATTCGGAAACATCTGGCTGCAAGAGGCATCCCAACTTACATGTATCCTTTTGTGATCTTAATTGTGTGTTCCCCCAACCAAAGAGGGAAAAATTTGCTGGTGTCACTATTTAATCCGAGGCCAAGTTTCTTCCTGCCACAGTCTTTACTCTGCCCCTCTTCAGTGAGACAAAATAAGATGCACTTTCTAACTTGTATATATCAAATATGTACACCCAACAAGATAAACACATCCAAGCATTTCTGGATGCCAGTAGATAAAAGATACATAAAGGGGAGAATTAATTGACTAATTGTTATTTGGTAACATTGAATCTTTCACATCACTTCTGTAGAGATCCTTCAGACCTTGAAACAAGGTTTAATTCTCAGAACATCACTCTTCATTTTAATGAAGAGGTAAGCAAACAAATAAGAGAACTATTTTATTTCTGAACCTTTTTGATTATTAAAAGGCAGTATGAAATTTATTTTAACCATGAAGTCATGATCTCCTTTAGCTAGACTAGTGTTTTCTTCTAATGACCTCCGTGCTACATAAGTTAGCATATTTTCAACTATTATAACGGGTCCCAAAATTACTACAAAAAGCAGAATTGACCCCTAAGTGCTATAATTGCACAGAAACTTCATCTTTTTACTGAGATATTTGACTGAAATTCACTCAATGATGATCTTTAGGATTCTTATGTATTTTTATTATACTTCAAGTTCTGGGGTACATGTGCAGAATGTGCAGGTTTGTTACATAGCTATACTCATGCCATGGTGGTTTGCTGTATCCAATACCCTGTCATCTACATTAGATATTTCTCCTAATGCTATCCCTCCCCTATCCCTCCATCCCTGGCTATCCATCCCCTAGCCCCCCACCCCGTGACAGGACCTGGTGTGTGATGTTCCCCTCACCATGTCCATGTGTTCTCATTGTTCAACACCCACTTATGAGTGAGAACATGCGGTGTTTGGTTTTCTGTTCTTGTGTCAGTTTGCTGAGAATGATGGTTTCCAGCTTTATCCATGTCCCTACAAAGACATGAACTCATCCTTTTTTATGGCTGCATAGTATTCCATGCTATATACGTGCCACTTTTTTTTTTATCCAGTCTGTCATTGATAGGCATTTGGGTTGGTTCCAAGTCTTTGCTATTATGAACAGTGCCACAAACATGTGCATGTATCTTTATATTTATAATGAATGATTTGTAATCCTTTGGGTATATATCCAGTAATGGGATTGCTGGGTCAAATGGAATTTCCATTTCTAGATCCTTGAGGAATCGTCACACTGTCTTCCACAGTGGTTGAACCAATTTACACTCCCACCAACAGTGTAAAGTGTTCCTATTTCTCCACGTCCTCTCCAGCATTTGTTGTCTCCTGATTTTTCAATGATCACCATTCTAACTGGCGTGAGACGGTATCTCAATGTGGTTTTAATTTGCGTTTCTCTAATGACCAGTGATGGTGAGCTTTTTTTCATATGTTTGTTGCCTCCATAAATGTCTTTTTTTGGGACGTGTCTGTTCATGTTCTTTGCCCAATTTTTGATGAGGTTGTTTTTTTCTTGTAAATTTGTTTAAGTTCCTTGTAGATTCTAGATATTAGCCCTTTGTCAGATGGATAGATTGTAAAAATTTTCTTTCATTTTGTATGTTGCCTGTTCACTCTGATGACAGTTTCTTTTGCTCTGCAGAAGCTCTTTAGTTCAATTGGATCGCATTTGTCAATTTTGGCTTTTGTTGCCATTGCTTTTTGTGTTTCAGTCACGAAGTCTTTGCCCATGCCTGTGTCCTGAATGGTATTGCCTAGGTCTTCTAGGGTTTTTGTGGTTTTAGGTCATACATTTAAGTCTTTAATCCATCTTGAGTTAACTTTTGTATAACGTGTAAGGAAGGGGTCCAGTTTCAGTTTCCTGCATATGGCTAGCCAGTTTTTCCAACACCATTTGTTCAATAGGGAATCATTTCCCCATTGCCTGTTTTGTTAGGTTTGTCAAAGATCAGTTGGTTGTAGATGTGTGATGTTATCACTGAGGCTTCTGTTCTGTTCCATTGGTTTGTATCTCTGTTTTGGTACCAGTATCATGCTGTTTTGGTTAATGCAGTCTTGAAGTATAGTTTGAAGTCAGGTAGAGTGATGCCTCCAGCTTTATTTTTTGTTGTTGTTTTGTTTGTTTTTGCTTAGGATTTCTTGACTATGTGGGCTCTTCTTTGATTTCATATGAAGTTTAAAGTGTTTTTTTCAATTCTATGAAGAAAGTCTATGGTAGCTTGATGGGGATAGCATTGAATCTATAAATTACTTGGGACAGTATGGCCATTTTCACAATATTGATTCTTCCTAACCATAAGCATGGAATGTTTTTCCATCTGTTTGTGTCCTCTCTTATTTCCTTGAGCAGTGGTTTCTAGTTCTCCTTGAAGAGGTCCTTCACATCCATTGTTAGTTATATTCTTAGGTATTTTATTCTCTTTGTAGCAATTGTGAATGGGAGTTCACTCATGATTTGTCTATTTGTCTATTACTGGTGTATGGGAATGCTGGTGGTTTTTTACACATTGATTTTGTATCCTGAGATTTTCCTGAAGTTGCTTATCAGCTTAGGGAGATTTTGGACTGAGACAATGGGATCTTCTAAATACACAATGGTGCCATCTGCAAATAGAGACAATTTGACTTCCTCTTTTCCTAATTGAATACCTTTTTTTTTTTTGCCTGATTCCCTTGGCCAGAACTTCCAATAATGTGTTGAATAGGAGTGGTGAGAGAGGGCATCCTTGTCTTGTGCTGGTTTTCAAAGGGAATGCTTCCAGTTTTTGCTCATTCAGTATGATATTGGCTGTGGGTTTGTCATAAATAGCTCTTATTAGTTTAAGATACATTCCATTGATACCTAGTTTATTGAGAGTTTTTAGCATAAAGGGCTGTTGAATTTTGTCAAAGGCTTTTGTCTGCATGTATTGAGATAATCGTGGTTTTTGTCTTTGGTTCTGTTTATGTGATGGATTATGTTTATTGATTTGCTTATGTTGAACCAGTCTTGCATCCCAGGGTTGAAGCTGACTTGATCATGATGATAAGCTTTTTGATGTGCTATTGGATTTGGTTTGCCAGTATTTTATTGAGGCTTTTTTGCATCAATGTTCATCATGGCGATTGGCCTGAAATGTTCTTTTTTAGTTGTGTTTCTGCCAGGTTTTGGTATCAGGATGATGTTGGTCTCATAAAATGAGTTAGGGAGGATTCCTTCTTTTTGGATTGTTTGGAATAGTTTCAGAAGGAACGGTACCAGCTCCTCTTTGTATGTCTGGTAGAATTTGGCTGTGAACCCATCTGGACCTGAACTTTTTTTTGGTTGGTAGGCTATTAATTGCTGCCTCAATTTCAGTCCCTGTCATTGGTCTATTCAGGGATTCAACTTCTTCCTGGTTTAGTAGTCTTGGGAGGGTGTAAGTGTCCAGGAATTTATCCATTACTTCTAGATTTACTGGTTTATGTGCATAGAGTCATTTGTAGTAATCTCTGATGGTAGTTTGTATTTCTGGGAATCGGTGGTGTTAGCCCCTTTATCGTTTTTTTATTGCATCTATTCAATTCTTCTCACTTTTCTTTTTAATTAGTCTGGCTAGCAGTCTAATTATTTTGTTGATCTTTTCAAAAAACCAGCTTCTGGATATATTGATTTGTTTAAGTTTTTTTTGTGTCTCTATCTCCTTAAGTTCTGCTCTGATCTTAGGTATTTCTTGTCTTCTACTAGCTTTTGACTTTATTTGTTCTTGCTCCTCTAGTTTTTTTAATTGTGATGATAGGGTGTCGATTTTAGATCTTCCCATGCTTCTCATGTGGGCATTTAGTGCTGTATGTTTCTCTCTAGACACCGCTTTAAGTGTGTCTCAGAGATTCTGGTACGTTGTGTCTTCGTTGTCATTGGTTTTGAAGAACATCCTTATTTCTGTCTTCATTTCAGTATTTATCCAGTAGTCATTCAGGAGCAGATTGTTCAGTTTCCATGTAGTTTGTGTGGTTTTGAGTGAGTTTCTTAATCCTGAGTTCTAATTTTATTGCACTGTGGTCTGAGAGACTGTTATGATTTCCATTCTTTTGCATTTGCCAAGGAGCATTTTACTTGCAATTATGTTGTAAATTTTAGAATAAGTGCAATATGGCGCTGAGAAGAATTTATATTCTGTGGATTTGAGGTGGAGAGTTCTGTAGATGTCTATTAGGTCTGCTTGGTCCAGATCTGAGTTCAAGTCCTGGATATCCTTGTTAATTTTATGTTTCATTGATCTGTCTGATATTGACAGTGGGGTGTTAAAGTCTCCCACTACTAGTGTGTGGGAGTCTAAGTCTCTTTGTAGGTCATTGAGAACTTGCTTTTTGTATCTGGGTGCTCCTGTATTGGGCGCATATATATTTAGGATAGTTAGCTCTTCTTGTTGCATTGATCCCTTTATTATTATGTAATGCCCTTCTTTGTCTCTTTTGATCTTTGTTGGTTTAAAGTCTGTTTTATCAGAGGCTAGCATTGCAACCCCCCTTTTTTTTCTCTCCATTTGCTTGGTAAATCTTCCTCCATCCCTCTTTTTTGAGCCTATGTTTGTCTTTGCACATGAGACGAGTCTCCTGAATACAGCATACCAATGGGTCTTGACCCTTTATCCAATTTGCCAGTCAGTGTCTTTTGGTTGGGGCATTTAGCCCATATACATTTAAGGTTAATATTGTTATGTGTCAGTTTGATCCTGCCATTTTGATACTAGCTAGTTGTTTTGCCCGTTAGTTGATGCAGCTTGTTCATGTCTGTAGTCTTTACAATTTGGTATGCTTTTGCAGTGGCTGGCACTGGTTGCTCCTTTCTTGTAAGGCAGGCCTGGTGGTGATGAAATCTCTCAGCATTTACTTGTTCATAAAGGATTGTATTTCTCCTTCGCTTATGGAGCTTAGTTTGGCTCAATAGGAAATTCTGGATTGAAGATTCTTCTTTAAGGATGTTGAATATTGGCCCTTACTCTCTTCTGGCTTTGTAGGGTTTCTGCTGAGAGATCCACTGTGAATCCAATAGGCTTCCCTTTGTCTGTAACCCAACCTTTCTCTTTGGCTGCCCTTAGCAATTTTCCCTTCATTTCAACCCTAGTGAATCTGATGATTATGTGCCTTGGGGTTGCTCTTCTTGAGGAATATCCTTGTGGTGTTCTCTGTATTTCCTGAATTTGAATGTTAGCCTGCCTTGCTACGTGGGGAAAGTTCTCCTGGATAATATCCTGAAGAGTATTTTCCAAATTTCCTTCATTCTTCCCATCACTTTTAGGCAAACCGATCACACATAGATTTGGTCTTTTCACATAATCCTATATTTCTTGGAGGCTTTGTTCATTTCTTTTCACTCTCTTTTTTCTAATCTTGCCTTCTCGCTTTATTTCATTGAGGTGATCTTCAATCTCTGATACCTTTTTTCTGCTTGATTGATTTGGCTGTTGAAACTTGTGTATGCTTCACAAAATTCTCATGCTGTGTTTTTCAGCTCCATCAAGTTGTGTATGTTCTTCTCTACGCTGGTTATTCTAGTTAGCATTTTGTCTAACCTTTTTTGAAGGTTCTTAGCTTCCTTCCAGTGCGTTAGAACGTCCTCTTTTAGCTTGGAGAAGTTTGTTATTACCTACCTTCTGAATCCTGCTTGTGTCAGCTTGTCAAACTCATTCTCCATTCAGTTTTGTTCCCTTGCTGGTGAGGAGTTATGATCCCTTGGAGAAGAAGAGTTGTTCTGGTTTTTGGAGATTTCAACCATTTTGCATTGGTTTCTTCCTATCTTCATGGATTTATCTACCTTTGGCCTTTGAAGTTGGTGACCTTTGGATGGGGTCTCTGAGTGGACATCCAGTCTGTTGATATTGAAACTATTTCTTTCTGTTTGTTAGATTTTCTTCTAACATTCAGGCCCCTCTGCGCGGTCTGCTGGAGTTTGCTGGAGGTTCACTCTAGACCATGCTTGCCTGGGAATCACCAGCAAGGGCTTCGGAACAGCAGTTTGCTGCCTATTCCTTCTTCTGATAGCTTCGTCCCAGAAGTGTACCCACCAGATGCCAACCAGAGCCCTCCTGTATGAAGTGTCTGTCAGCCCTTGCTGGGAAGTGTCTCCCAGTCAGGTAGTCACTTGAGGAAGCAGTCTGTCCCTTATGAGAGCACGTATACTGTGCTGGGAGATCCGTTGCTCCCTTCAGAGCTGCTGGGCAGGGATGTTTAAGTCTGCTGAAGCTGTACGCTCAACCGCCCCTTTTCCCAGGTGCCCGGTCCCAGGAAGGTGGTGGCTTTATTTATAAGTCCCTGACGGGCTGCTGCCTTTTTTCAGAGATGCCCTGCCCAGCAACAAGGGAGTCTAGTGACAGTCTGCATTCAGAGGCCTTGCTGAGCTGCTGTGGGCTCCGCCCAGTTGCTGTGTAAACTTCCTGGCAACTTTTGTTTACACAGGCGAGGTTAAAACGGCCTACCGGAGCCTAGGCAATGGCAGACACCCCTTGCCCTACGGAGCTCAAACATCCTAGGTCAAGCTCAGACTGCTGTCTTGGCTCTGAGAATTTCAAGCCAGTAGATCTTAGCTTGCCTGGTCTTCATGGGTGTGGGACTTGCTGAACCAGATCACTTGGCTTTCTGGCTTCAACCTCCTTTTTCAGGGGAATGAGTGGTTCTGTCTTGCTGGCATTCCAGGTGCCACTGGGGTATGAGAAAAAAAAAAATGTGGCTAAAATGGCCACCCAGTTTTGTGCTGGAAACCCGGGGTGCTGGTGTTGTAGGCAATGGAGGGAATCTCCTGGTCTGTGGGTTGTGAAGACAGTGGGAAAAGCACCGTATCTGAGCCAGAGTGTCAGGAAAAGTCCCTAATGGCTTCCCTTGGCTAGGAGGAGGAGTTCTCCGGCCCCTTGTGCTTCCCAGGTGAGGCGACACTCCACCCTGCTTCAGCTCACCCTCCTTGGGCTGCACCCACTGTCTAACCTCAGTTGGAAATGTGGAGATCACATGCCTTCTGCGTCACTCTCACTGGGAATTGGACACCAGAGCTGTTCCTATTTGGCCATCTTGGCAGAAATCTGTTCAAGATATTTAAATCACTAAAAAAAACTTAGTAGAGAAGCCAGGTTTTATGTGCTTGTACAATTCAAGCAGTATCTGAAGAATTTTAATACTCTGAAAACAGTAACAGCAATAAATGCTAACAATATTGAAAGTATGTATGATACGATGAAAGAGAATTAAAGCATACTACTTCTAGAAGAGTTATTTCAATGATTACTAAACTAGAGAATGAATCGTTTTGGTAAAGTTGATTTTAAAGTGATGACGTGTATTTTCTTTGACCGTCTTATCAGATATTACTTTCCTAGAAGCAAGCCTGCTGTCCTTCATTCACAGTCGCCATCTTCCTCCTCAAGTCAGCTGGTGCCTTAACATCTGGCCCAGCCTCAGATCCTGTCTTTAGCAACCAACTAATAGATATTTACCCAGAGCTACCGCAATAGAGTATTTCAAATGGCATCAGGATCTGTTGGGCCTCGGAAATTGTCTCTTTTCTGAGTTTAAATTTGGTTCTCCTGGATGTGTTGCTCTGACTTGGTACCTGTAATACAGGGAAACACAACTCTTTTGGGAAAGCCCTTTGACCCCAGCTTGCTATTTGCATAATAATAAATTTTCTATTCCTAATAGTTTTATTGCTTTCTTTTCCCTATATCTAGTTTTCTTCTCCTCTGCTAGACTGATTACAGAGGGAAAGGCTGTATGGATTAAGGAGACATGAATGGTCATAGAACAGGGTGGCTCTGGAAGAAGGAAGCATCTTCAGCCAGCTCTTGCCTTCAAAAACAATGGACCCAGGAAGAGAGACTAAGTGAGATTCTTTATCCAGACAAGTAGTGTACCTCCTCTCCTCCTTTTTGCACTGCAGAACATCAAGATCTGGAAGAAAATACATTGATCTAGAGCTTGTCAAATGTGACTTCAGAAAAACCACAGGATCTTTTTTTTCCTAGCTACCAAATCCAATTCAGCTGCAAGGAATAAAGGAATTGTGAAAAGGTTGCAAGCCCATCACAGAATGATTGGTGATACTGGGGAGGGCAGGAGACTGAGAACCACCAGAGTAGGAGTCATAGAGGGAAGACTATAAGTTGTGGCTTTTCACACTTGTGTGTGTCTCAGTCGTGGCGGAGTATCCTCACCCAGCCTAATTTCTGCTGTCTTGAGGCCATCAACACCCAGAGTGCTATGGAGGCCTCATGAAAAGCCTCAGTCCTGGGCTTTGATGTGGAGAACCCTGGCTACTGGGCTCAGAGACAGGACCATGGTCTTCTAAGGAAGGTGGTACCTGTGTTTTACTGTTCTGACTCTTCTCACATATTCACGCTTTAATAATATAGCATCATGCTGTAGACCTATTTGATTGAAAACTCAGGATTCCTTATGTTTTTTTTCTCCCAAAACTTGCATCAATTTTAACTGCTTCCTATCTACTACTCTTCCCACCACCCTTAACATGTAGGTTATTACAGTAACTTACTGAATTGTATCTTGAGTCTTGCCTATAACTGGAAGCAAAATTGGAACTCCACAAAGGGAGAATCTTGTGAAACCTAAACTAATGCACAGGTGAGTTGCTGTGCCTTTCAGAAGAAGTCAGAGTGCAAATAGGTGGAGCATTAGCAAATGCAAAGAAAACTTGACTGGGCACCATGCAAAAGCTGTAGATCCTCTTGGAAAGCCATGCTTATTTCTGAGGGCAGAGTGCATGGAGCTAGTTGGGGATGTTTCTGAACGTGTGAGAGAAGCATCACAGCAGGGAACTCGCTTCCAAAGGGAATGTGGCTGACCTTTCAGGGGCACAGTTGTCTTTTGTGGGGAGAAAGGGTTTTTTTTTTCCCCCTATACTGTCTGCCATGCTTCAGTCATGTGGAATTTTTCTCTGGATGGAGTCCCTGACCCATGAACCTTGGTCTCCTAGTAAGCTGGCCATAAACAATAGAGAGGAAGATCAGAAACGTCATGTAGCACATTCTCCCTTAAGTTTGGGGTCACTTCTCAGTGGCAGTGTCCTGATTTGCTTGCCCACCTCTCTTAACTCTTCAGAGTCAAAAACACTGCCCTACTATGTTTCCAGAAATCTGCCTTATCTTTTATAATCCCTTCAACTCTTTCTATCAAAGAGGTGTCACTCTCTGGGAAGGTATGATGAGAGAGGCTGTCTATTCTATTTATCCCAAGGGTTTGTTCTCTTTATTCCATGCCGTATCTTTGATGCCATCCACCCCTCCCCTCTGAGGATGGAACCAAGAGGAAAATACCAGATTTTATTCACCGATGAGCTTTTGTAGACTAAACATCAGCTTTTGTGCATCGTAACCATCAGAAGGAAAATCCCGCTTATTGAGACAGGAACTTAAATCTATTGAAATTTTTTTGTAAGTATGGGCTTATATTTTCTTGACTGTTAATAAATTTTTCTTTATCTTATAACAAGCCTACAACTTCTTTTATTTTTTTCCCCATAAAAACTGTATTCTATTAAGTTAATTAACCTTTTAAAATACAGCTTGAATCAGCCATTTTTGAGCCTTAAACTATTTTTCTAGGTCTGTGTTTTCCCACCTACTAACTGAAGTACACTTGCTGCACAGTATCCATGGTGGATTGGTTCCAGGACCTCCCATGGATACCAACATCTGGGGATGCTAAAATCCCAAATACAAAGTGGCATAGTATTTGCATATAGCTTCATATCGTCCTGTATACTTTAAATTATCTCTAGATTACTTATAACACCTAATAAGATATAAATGCTATGTAAATAGTTGTCATACTATATTGTTTAGATTATAATGACAAGGAAAAGTCTGTACATGTTCAGTACAGATACAATTTTAAAAATATATTTTTCATCCACTGTTGGTTTACTCCATAGATGTAGATGCCTTGGATACAGAAGGCTGACTGTGTAAACTCACTCTAGCATTACTTACCTTTCACCACAGTCTGCTTTCTTGTTTCCAAAAGACATCCGTGGTTTCTCGCGTGGGCCTATGCTGGTATGTCTCCTCATGCCGGTGCCTCTTCCTTGACTGCCTTTCTCCCCTAAATTCTTTTCCCAGCATCTATCCCCTATCAAATCTAGTCTTTAAGAAGCCAGAAAGGCACTTTCTACATTCCCACTAAAATGTAATCTCAGTGCTACCGATGATAGCTGGGCCTTATAGAACTTACTTTGTTGTGCCCCTATTTTATTCACTGGTGTATTAACCCTCACCTGGACAGCCAAGCCTTTGAGAATCATACAAATCAATAAGCTGACACTCAAATCTTTGTTGAGTTGAAATATGAAAATAACTGGCTACCAATTTGGAGAATATAATGGAGAATATAAGATAGTTTAAGTATCTTAATATAAAACTTGAGAATATGGAAAGAAATGTCGTTTTTGTGGTGTCAGACTAACAGTTGCTTTTTTTTTCCTTTCTTTTTTTTTTTTTTTTTGAGACAGTCTCACTCTGTTGCCCAGGCTGAAATGAAATAAAGAGGAATGAATTTCTTGAGACAAATGAAAATGAACACATACTAAAACCCATGGAATACAGCAAAGGCAGTTCTCAATGGGCAGTTGATAGCAGTAAGTGCTTACATTATGAAAAAAGGAAGATCTCCAACAACATAATATTTTATTATACCTCAAGGAACTGGAAAAAACAACAAACTAAACACCAAATTAGTAGAAGAAAGGAAATATTAAAGAACAGAGCAGAAATAAATTAAAGAGACTTAAAAATTGTAAAAGATCAACAAGATGAAGAGTTGGTTTTTGAAAAGATAAGTCTTTAGCTGGACTAAGAAAAACAGACTCCAAATCAGAGATGAAGGAGATGTTGCAACTGATTCTACAGAAATATAAAGGACCAGGCCAGGCACAGTGGCTCATGCCTATAATCCCAGCACTTTGGAGGCTGAGGCAGGCAGATTACTTGAGGACAGGAGTTCAAGACCAGCCTGGCCAACATGCTGAAACCCCATCTCTACTAAAAATATAAAATCAGACAAGTGTGGTGGTGGGCACCTGTAATCCCAGCTACTTGGGAGAATGAGGCAGAAGAATCACTTGAACCCAGGAGGCAGAGGTTGCAGTGAGCTGAAATCATACCATTTTATTCCAGCCTGGGCAACAGAGCAAACTCCATCTCAAAAAAAAAAAAAGAGCTGGGTGCCATGGCTCATGCCTGTAATCCCAGCACTTTGGGAGGCTGAGGTGGGCAGATCATGAGGTCAAGAGATGGAGACCATCCTCACCAACATGGTGAAACCCCATCTCTACTAAAAAATACAAAAACATTAGCTGGGTGTGGTGGTGCACACTGGTAGTCCCAGCTGTTCAGGAGACCGAGGCAGGAGAATCACTTGAGCCAGGGAGGCGGTGGTGGCAGTGAGCGGAGATTGAGCCACTGCACTCCAGCCTGGCCATGGAGCAATATTCTGTCTCAAAAAAAAAAGGATCATAAGAAACTTATGAATAATTATATGCCAATAAATCAGATAACCTAGAAGAAACGGGTAAATTTCTGGACATGTTATAAAGCATTATAGAATTCGAGAATTGTAAAGAAAAAATCTGAACAGAGCCCAAGTGTAGTGGTACACACCTGTACCCTGAGCATTTTGGGAGGCCGAGGTGGGTGGATCACTTGAGCCTAGAAGTGAGAGACCAGCCTGGACAACACAGTGAGACCCTGTTTCTACTAAAAATAAAATGGAAAAGTATTGGATGTGGTGGTCCACACCTGTGGTACCAGCTACTCAGGAGGAGCAGGAGACTGAGGGAGAATTGCTTGAGTCCAGGAGTTGGAGGCTGCAGCGAGCTATGATCACACCAAAACACTTCACCTTGGGCAACAGAGCAAAACGCTGCCTCAAAAAAAAGAAAAGAAAAACAAACAGTTGAACACAGCAATAAAAAACAAGGAGATTAAACCAGTAATTAAAAAACTTCTGGGAAAGAAAAGCCCAGGAACAGATGGCTTCACTCGTAAATTCTACCAAACCTTTAAAAACTTAGTACCTACTGGGTATATACCCAAAGAATTATAAATCATTGTACTATAAAGACACATGCACATGTATGTTCATTGCAGCCCTGTGTACAGTAACAAAGACCTGGAACCAACCCAAATGCCCATCAGTGATAGACTGGACAAAGAAAATGTAGTACATATACACCATGGGATACTACACAGCCATAAAAAACGATGAGTTCGTGTCCTTTGTAGGGACTTGGATGAATCTGGAAACCATCATTCTCAGCAAACTGACACAAGAACAGAAAGCCAAACACCATATATTCTCACTCGTAGGTGGGTGTTGAACAATGAGAACACATGGACTCAGGGAGAGGAGCATCACACACTGGGGGCAGTTGGGTGGGGTAGTGGAGAGACAGTGGAGGGTGGGGAGGGTGGGGGAGGTAACATGGGGAGAAATGCCAGATATGGTATGCACATAAAGTAAAATAATATAAAAATAAAAAACAAAAGAATTGGTACCAAAAAATTAAGTAGATGGAATACTTCAAAACTTATTCACAATGTCAGCATTATCCCAATACCAAAAGCCAAACATAACAAAACCAAACAAGGACATAACAGAAAAAGAAAGAAAACCACAGGCCAATATC